ATCGAAAAAAACTCATCAAAATGATTGAATTATTAATAATAGCTATAATTGTGTGCCAGCTCATTGAAAAAACCTACAATNTTTTTTTTTTTTTTTTTTTTTTTTTTTTTTTTTTTTGCGACAACGTATCTACGCGTTACGTATATTGACATTGCGAACTATGCGGAGCAAAACAAAAAACGGAACGAGACAAAAAAAAAAACGAAACTTTGAATGGTTGTAATTTTTATTCTATATTCATGTCATGTAAATGATTGTGTCTCGCGCGCGGATCGGTTACAGCGGACACGCGCGCGCGAGAGGCGAATCAAATTCACGCGCGCTAAACTGAATTATTATCACGAAGAAGCGTGCAAGGCAGAATAATACTCGCTCACTCTCCAGAGAGAGAGAGACTATATGTCTCGCTGCATACAGTATTTTTTTTTCTCTTCTGTCGCGCTCTCCTCTAACCACAGTGACTTTTTTTCATTCTTTTCTCGCTCTCTCTCCTTTTCTCGTGGCAGGGCGCTTGCCTCTACCTCTCGGTTATTGCACCTTTCGATATATATTATCCTCTCTCTCTCACTCTCTGGGATGTGCTGCTTCTGCTGCTGCTCGAGATGCGCGCACGCTAAATCTCTTCCTATTTCTCGTTTCCGCCCGCCTGTATAAAAGATTTCGTTTCTCAAAAAAAAAAAAAAAAAAAAAAAATACCTGCAGCACACGTCGCGTATACCGCGCACACACATAACATAGATATATAATGCGGCACGATAACATCTTTCGGAATTGTTTCGAGTTTTACAACGAAGTAAAAAAAAAGAAAAGAAAAAAAAATACATATCCCTATATATATTGCACGCGAGGCATATTCTCGCGAAGCACATGTGCGCGCACGCGGCAGCAAAAGTTCGCTAAAGCTATATTATTATTTTTTATCCATCGAAGTACGCGCGCAACAGTTGCATTCGTCCGCACGAGAGACGAGAAATTTTCTGACAGGTTTAATTATATATCTACCAGTCAGCGCGACTAGACGACTGTATTATTTTCTGCGGATACTGTGTGTGTGTGTGTGTTGAAGTCGGTGGTGAGCTCTCGTATATATATATTTGTAACGCATCTATGCTGTATGTAATAAATTCTTTGGGACGTAAAAGCAGTTAACGGGACGAAAAATGAAAATTCATCGTTTTTCACTTATACGTTAGAAAAAAATTTTTTCCTTTTCAAATACTTTCGACCGCGGCTAGGGCAATATAACACGTGGCTCATCACAAGAGGCCGCATAGTAACAATAATAATAATATCGTCGTCGTCGTCGTTCGGGTAGTGCAAGATCTTAAAAGTCCACCACGGCTAATTGCTAATTACAAGGCATATACATAAGTAAAATTTATCATCGCAATGGGCACCTATATAACGTTTGTTTATTATTGTACGACGCGCGCGTATATAGTATAATGGTAGTAATAGTACACAATAACTACTACGTGTTCTCTCTCTCTATTGGGACATTATGCAGTTGTGCCTCGTCAAGAGCCTTTCTCTAGCAGTCCCATTCCGCCCGCCGCACTCGCTGTATTATACTTCTTTCATGATAATTGCGGCGCTCATCATCAACCTGCTCTCCTTCTCCCATTGTGCTTTTGTCTTTCAATCGTCGTCGTCGTCTACGTATAGGACCGCCACCGCCTACAATGGTAATTTCATGTTATTACCGAGTCATATTCTCTTCTCTACTACTACTATACCTCGTCTAGGATACGATTTCGGCCATTACGAAGTCTATCAACGCAGTGGGCAAAGAAAACATCGTTGCGGTGTATTATATAGTATATATGCAGCGAAACCCAGAGGTTGTAAACACGGACCTCCCCCTCCCGCCAAACACGCGAGTGTGTTGTTTCGCTCGAAACATTTTATAACGCGGCCACGCGCGCGCGCGCGAGAGACATCGAGTGCATGTGCGGGGAAGCTCTTGAAATTCTGACGATGCGTTTTCGAAATTATGCTACACAGTTTTGTTTGTATATCGGGATTCTCGGCTTTGTATACATGCATACGATTACCGCACGTATGTGCACAGAAGCCGAAAACTCCGAGTCGAGTGGCAGTCTCGACCTCCTACAGGTATCTCTCGTCATTTATTTTTTTTCATTTCCAGGAGCCTCGGCATGAAAACGTTTCGTCCGAATTCTGCGAGGACACGAGCAGCAACAGCACTTCATAATAACCGTATCGCTTGAAATAATGACAAAATTACGATCGTTTTTTTTTTCTTCTATCGCTAATATAAAGCGACGAATGCGTCCGGGCGAGATATGGAAATCGAAGTGTGCTGCAACAGATATATAGGCGCGTATATAGAATAATGTAACTTATAGTTCCGCCGACACATTTGAAAAATCGAACGTCATTATAGAATCGAACGGTGCAACAGTCAGCAGCCGTTGATTGCTCGCTTACACATACGCGCGCTTGTATATTTGCGCGATCTCTCTCTCTCTCTCTCTCTCTCACTCGCGGCCGGAACGTCGGAGGAAAAGAGACTCATACATATCACGAGAGAGAGAGAACCGGTGTGACTGGCGCGTGAGCGACTGTATTATGTATCGTTGAAAATCGCATCTAACGCATGTGGAGCTGTATTGAAAAACAGCAGCAACAGCGTCGGTAGTCAAACACAGGCAAAAAACAGTTGCGAGATGGCAATCGGGAAAAACATGTTCTTCTCGTGCATAATATAATGCGATCGTACTCACCGATTAACAATGGCTAGACGACGACGACGACTACGATGATTTTCCCGCGCGCTCGCTTATTGGCGAATTTTCACGCGTGCGGAGCGCACAGTTGCAGCGGTCGCGGTTGCGTCAGAGCGCGAGCCACTTGATAACGGCTAGAAAAAAGAACACCACCCGACGACGAGTCGATATACGTATAGAGATATATCTAGACGCGCACTCGGTTGATTTTTCGTAAAATGCAAAGAGTAACGATGATAGTCGTGTTGTAATATATACTCCGACGCGCACTGGCTCGACCTTAACCTTATTATTTAACACACACGCACACCCGGCGCGTTACGATAACTCGTATATATTTCGCACATTAGACAACAAACACCGCGCACGCACACACACTGACTCGCGGGGCACAGAAAACTATATGAGCAAGCGGCAAACAGAGAGACGAACGAACACTTTTGTGTGCAACGCAGTGCACGCTTATATTTATCTTCGCAGTCGAAAGAGGCTTTTCTGCGAAGGAGAGAGCATTAACTCGTGTTTGCATGCAGATTTTTTTTTCGGTTTGCGCTATGTGTAACACCGCATTGTGAAGCACATGTACAGCTCGAAATTCATACAGATTGTAAGTTGAAGGATTGTTTCACCACTGAATCTAAACGCTCGCCTATTTAAATACGGAACGGCCGACGATTCTTGTCGCAGGTTTCAATCGAATCCATCTATCGGCCGACAATACTATTACACTCGAAGTTCACTCGCGCACTCAAAAACAAACGCCTCCCAACAACAACAACAACAACTCGGAGCTTTCGTTGATCTCTCACTCTGCGTCAACGATCTCTTCAAGCGTGTGTTCTTTATACCGGCGTATCTGCCTCAATGGGGGGATATACAACACAATATATCGAAGCGCGCGCGTGCCACGATGCAGCGGCAGCAGCACAACCACCACACGGGATGCGGAGAGAGGGAGTAAATTCGCGCGTGTTCGATACACACACACACACCGAAGGATATTATATATGTATACGTGTGAGCGACGCGCACCTCACGAGTGCCGGCACGAGACTGCAGTTGGGTTTCGCGCCGCGGCTCACTGTGGCATGAGGCCAGGCTTGCAGGCGCTCGCACAAGAGAGTGAGAGAGAGAGACGGACGGCGCGCCCGCGCGATAGAGGTAAAGGTCGAGGTACGAGGCGTTCGCGGTGAATGAGAGGCGCGCGGAGAAAGAGAGAGAGAAGAGAGTCGCAGGCGCGCGCCACCCGTTGATCCTGTGTCGAGCAGCGCACGGATATGTATATATGGAGTTGTTGATACTAATATTATGTGGGATATAACGTTATGCGTTACGCAAGTGGAAAAGTATATATTATAATGAAGGAATTCTAGAGAGATACGAGATTTTGCATTATTACATTGTATGAGATTTCAGCTCTCGAAGATGCGATACGATAAGTCGCGGTGTTAGAAAGAAGCAAAGTGTGAGTCATATATGGCAAGAGTCAAACGTGTCATTACGAAGAGCCTCGCGTGGATGAAATTATGATTTTCTTCGGCAATTGTTGCTGTCAGTCGTTCAACAATTGCGTATTCGCATTGTTCGTATAGTAAGTCGTGTATCGTATACGAACGATAACTTCATCTTTTTCTTTCCTATTTACTTGTGATTTTATTCAACATTTTTCCATATCGCAATTTTTCTTTTCGATTAATCGCGAAACATATTATATGAACATATGCGCGTGCGAACTCGATCGACCGCGCGCGCATATGAAAACACGCTTAAATACTCTCCTCTCGGAGCGATCGCGTTAGTATATAGCTTAATATCATTCCAAATTTAAAACCCGGGGGCCACTAACGGCCAACAGCTCTCGAGCTCTCCGATCGATTAATTCCACTACGTATACACGCGGATCGAAGGCGAAAATTCTCTCGTATAGTCTTTAAATACTTTTGACTCGATAAACACCGTATATATATTTCGATGAATCAAACTCTCTGAATGTAAGTGATTACACAGTTCGGCGTCAAGGGGGTCAATGAAAAAGAGAAGAGAAAAAAAATCACAATGTAAAAATTTCAATGTTTTAATAGAATTTTTCTTTTTCTCGTGGATGGACTCTACGAGCAATATAACGATATCATTTATACGTAATACATTACAATTATTTGTGTATAATATAATATATTCGAGTGCGCATATTTCTTTGTTTTTTTTTGTAAATATAACGACGTCTTTATTCTCATCGAGTGTTATCGAGTATTTTTTTTTTTATTATTTGCCAGACTTGTTTTCTCTGCCCTGCCACCGCCGATGCTGTCCGGTGGAAACGAGAAAGAGACGATATAATATTTCCGACTCTTTCTCCCTCGGCTCTGGACCCAATTTCCATCCTGTATATCGTATAATATGTGTGTGCGTATATGTATATGTGTGTCTGGTGCAGCATGCAGATATACATCTACCCCAAAATGATCTAAAATGCGTTCGAACAAAAAAAAATATGAGAGAGAGAGAGAGAGAGAGAGAAGCTCGTATGCATGTGTGTGTATGTAGATGGTGCGTTGGATGTCAATATGCGTGATCTCGTGACGTCAACAGATGGAAAATATGTGGTGCTATATGGGAAAGGCTGGCCATCCGTCACGTTTGAAGGATTACGCAGCGGCTGGAACAGAAAAAAATTCGGAAAAATTTATGTTATCAATGGATATCGCATACATTTCGGCTGTTCTATCTTTTGAAGAATTTATTTTTCTCCGCATAAACGTAAATCTCGAATCGTCCGATGCTCAATTTATTCGACATAATTGAAAAAATAAACGTCCCCCGCGAAGAATTATTGTTTATCATCCCGCGTTATACCTTCGACGACCGGTGCAGACTCGGGTGCGGATTCCACCGGGACCTCGGCCGGTGGCGCCTCGCCGCCCTCCTCGGCCGGTGGTGCTGCTGCCGCGGCGTCGTCGGCGGCCGGTGCATCGCCTTCCGCTGGTGGCGCGGCATCTCCTTCCGCCGGTGCCTCGCCGCCCTCGGTCGCGGGCGCCTCACCCTCCGCGGGTGCGGCCTCCTCTTGTGGAGCCGCCGCTATAGAGAGAGAAAAAAAAAGAGTTGGAATTATTTTTTATCAACGAGATTCGAAATAGAATCGACGATGTGGTGTAGGCCTAAAATCTTATATAGCGGCCAACTGTGCCACCGAGGGGTGTGATGCAACTAATTATAAAAAAGTAACGAAGCCCCCGAGCTATTAAACTTTTATAAAGGAATTATAAATAGATTAGTAAACGATACGGCCATTGCCAATATAAGATCAATGAATGTATGTCTCGGAGAGGGCTATCGAAAAAAAAATAAAACAAAAATTACGGTACCGACGATTGATCTAACAATAGACGAGTTTCTCAAGTATGATTCGTTCGATACTCACAGGGATTTAAAATGTAGAAAATCTTGTTGCAGAGTTCCATGTCCACGTCCGTTATTTCTCCGGACGATTCCGATGTTTCCATGGCCTTCAGTTTCGAGAGCAGCAGGTTCAGCACATTGAGTGGATTTGGCTGTGGTGGCTCTGAACAATTTTCATGAAATATTTATGAATATAACCGATCAAAGGGAACTCGATGACTTGTAAACGTTTCGATATATTTGAAACGATTTTTCTTTATTCTCAATGAAGTACAAACGTTTGAGTCAAATTAAACATCAACATTTATCGAAGCTTGTTTATACAAAATTCAAAGTTAAACCGTAAATTAAGAACACTTTGAACGACAAATATATGGTGTGAGGTTGATACAAAGAGTCACTGGTACACATAAAATACACTGAACTTCATTTGATTGTTGAGATCGAATTATTATTATTTTTTTTTTTTATTAAAAATTATAATTTACTTACGATTGTCCTTTTCAGGTGGTGGTAAAGTGATAGTCATTTTGATAAGTATTTGTTGAAATCAAAAAGATCGCAAAGTACAGTCAAACTCGGTTTCACTATTGAGTCACCCTTTCTCTAGGACGTTCAGTGTTAGAATGAGCGCCTCTGTATTTAGTGCAACGCATCGACTTATGCAACCGTTCGGGGTGACGTAATTTTTTTGACATAAATAGAAGTAGTGGGGGTGAACATTATAATGTTAATTTAAAAAAAATAATTTATCGATTTTTATTATAATGAGTTACCACGCCGATCGGTCACTGACTCCTCCTCTCGGATTCAGTGAAACAATATTATTCTGAAACAGTCGCTCATGTTGGTATTTTTTTGCTATGTTCTAGGAAAGTTTATCAACAAATATTAAAGTCAAAAAATAAATGAACATTTTAAGTAGTTCTTTACCGAGTCAATAAGAGGTAAATATTCTAACGATGCGTTGATATAATTTGTTATAACCATACACTTACGATTCATATTAAAGTGAATCACTTTCAAGACACCTAATTAATAGTTTTTAAATATAATGTACATAGTAAGTACCACAGTTTTACATTATTCAAATTAATTGTATTAATTAATAAAAAAAATTGTTTGCAGTTTCCATGTGCTGACGCACGTATTTATTCAATTATGATAATCACACATATAACGTTGGATTAAAAAAGTGAAAAAATTAAATTACAACTTGTTAGGACAATATTAAAAAGTATAAAATAATACAATGAAATATCCTGCTACAGAGTGAATGTAGACATGTAAACGTTGTTAACTGCGTACAAAACATTTAAGCTTCGATTTTGTTAAGATACATTGTCATATACATTGAAGTCAGGTCGAATCTACCTTTTGGAGGCTCTGGCTCAGGTTCTGGTTCCGGTTCGGGTTCTGGTTCTGCAATTAAAGAGATCGAAATATCAATCGTTTTGGAAACTGCCAAAGTTTCTTGGTAAAATAGTTATTAGTATACGAATGAAACTGAAAAGTACTGATTGGAATTTGAAGTTTGTCAAAAGCCCAGAGTCAAATGGCCGTCTACGACATTATTTCGACGCAATACCGATTATAACACAATCGATAAATTAGGTTGAAAAAAATAACATTGATCTTCTAAAAATTTCTAATAGAGTGTGTTCATATTTTCAGTTGCTATTTATGCAAGTAACATCTTCAATAATGTGAATATAAGTTTGCACGAATAGCATGCAAAATAGTCAACTTAGACGTTCAGAATATTTGTTTTGAGCATGCCACTACGTGATATTAAAAAAAAAATCCTAATGAACACTTGCGCATAAAATCAGGCCGTACAAAATATCAACGTATGGACAGATCATCTAGAATCTTTTTCATGAGAGAGCATAGTAATTGCTAACCTTTAAATAAAAATAAACGAATGTTTCTAGGATTTTGAATTTGAGATCTTTGCAAAAAATCGACTTTAAGTTTTAAATTGATTTTGAAAGTCTTTAGTTTTTTTCAAAATTTTTTGAAACAGTTTAAGGGTTTAGTTTCGACCATCGACATCTTAAGTTTATCAATTTCATAACTACTAATAGGTACATGACGTAGTTATTTTAAATGATTTAAAATACAGTGCCATTAATTAGTTTGTTTTGGTAATTAAGCTGTTACGATTATGTTGAAAGTATCAAACGTATTTTAAAAGACCTGAAATAGTATATTACGTGCCTGGAGCGAAAAACTGGAAAGCCTCAGAGCACGTGTAATTATCGTCCGAGACGAAGCCAAGGCCGATAAACATGTGCTCTGAGGCTTTCTTTTTTGCTTCAGTTAGGTGCGTATACTATTTTTCATGAGTCCCCCAGCAGAAATTAACATTTTCGTTTTGGCCGCCGGGACGAAAAAGGTTAGTTTCGGCTGGGGTAGCATGAAAATGACAATTTAATTGTATCAAAAAATTTAGACCAGTTTTCAATCACTTCAACTACGATAATACTACTTTCAGTCTCCACCACTAGATGGCGAGTACCTTCATATGTAAATCTGCGAGTGGCAAAATTAGAATAGATGTATAAGTCAAAGCGTCAATACATTATCGTGTAAGATGAAGAATAGTCTCTCTACTGGGTTTGTGCTCCTTTATACATAAATTTTGATTTAGTAGATACTGTACCTGGAGTTGGTTCACGTGGTGGTTCTGGTGTTTCGGGTACAGGGGACGGTGTTGGTTCCGTTGACGTAGCTTCTGAAGTAGTTTCACTAGCTGGTTCCTCCTTCAGTGGAATTTAACAACATTTCTTTTCATTTTTGCTATTTCGATTACGTAAGGGCATTTTTACGGTTCACTCGGAGATTTAAAAAGTTAATTTGGTGTGGAAATAATTCATTCAAGTAACAAACGATCAGATAATAATTTTCTGGACCAATAGTATTCATTTAAATAAAATTAAGAGGAAAAGATATTTTTAAAAAAAATATGCTCCAGTAAGAATTAAATAAAACAATAATATCAAAATGTTTGTAGCTATTTAAAAAGGGCTTATTTAAAAAGGGTAAAAAATACGTTAACATTTTAAGAATAACAAATTATTCAACGCGGAGATGTTGGAATTTCTTTTTAAAATATTTTACAAATAATTGGATGTACTGTTTTTTCTGACGTTTCTTCGTTGAGATTAATTAAAATAAATTCCACATTTAACTTGCATTATTTATAAAACTTTACACAGGTTTAAAATTATCGTACAGGGTATTGAAAATTATTGAAACAATTTTTAAAGTCAGCAAGGTAAAGAGAGGTGGTTTTGGGTCGTAATAACATAGGGTAAAAGGAAAAATACATTTTTTAAACAAAGCCTTGTTCATAGTATATTATTATTTGTTTTTAATTACAATAAAACTTATATATCATTCCCTCAGATGCGCCTTAAAGACATTCAGTCACAAGCTGGATAGGATTAAAAATTGAACAAATTTATTAACTCTTGTTTTCATTCTTTATATTATTACAGAAAAAAGTTGTATCAAGGTTTAACCATTACTCTTAAAATCTTTAATTTCGTAAGTATACAATTTTTAGAAGTGACAGTATCGTTAGATACCAATCAATAAGTAATGGAAAGTGCAGGATAACTTCCAGGTAACAATGGTAACAAAATTCTGTTTACTAATGATCCAAGGATAAAAAACAAAAACAAAACAGGGAACATGTAGAGGATAAAATCATCAAAAATAAAAATAATTCATTCTAGTACAGAGTAAGTGCAAAGGAAGTTACTGGTATGTGATTTTTTTTTTACAAGAGAGCGATAGTCGATTTTCTTGATAAAATTAGGATTGCGTGCTCAGTTAAACAAATAACTATCGCCTATAGTTCAAGTTTCAGTTAACGGATGGAACAGTTTATCGGAGATACAATTGTTTGGTTTTTCATGCCTCAACTGCAGCCTCCTCCTCTTTTACCTTCTTTTCTTCTCCTTTTTTCGACCATTCGGGCTTTTTCTGAAAATACGAAACAAGCAAATTAATAACGTAATTAGATCAGCATATTTTAATTTTTGTTACAAAAATACCAAATATTTTAGGTAAAATTTACTCTTCTAAAAAAAATTCTAGCTAAAAAATGGCTAACATATTACTCACACTACTTTGATAGTAATTTTAAATTGAGATAAAATAAATAATATTGATAACAGTATTAATAACTTAAATTCGTTAAAAATGTAGTCTAAAAAAATGAAGCAGTCATGATAAATTCCAGTCTAAAAAAATCTTAGATTAGCTCAAGTTTTAAACAAAGCAATGATCTACAGAATCTACAAGTATGGACTCAGGCAAATTATATTGATCGAAGCCTTTCAATTATTTTTACCTTATCTTTCGATGCATTCTGCAAATTTTAAGCAAGATTAGTCAACATGACAACGAAACAAAGAAATTATATTATTTACAAGACTGATAAGTATTACAAAATCCATGTAAGAAATTGGTTTTGTAATAATTTTAGCCATGATAGTTTAAATGTAAAACGAATACATTTTTTTTAAATATTCATGTTTTATGAACTTTGATAATTAAAAATGTATTCACACGTAATGTAATACACAGAGCATTTCAACACATATTACAGACAGAAAGCTCGGCAGCCGAATCGTTTTTATTTTTATGTTTTATTTCAAGTCGTATTTAAATATGCTTTAATCGCTGTACAACCCCACAAATATAATTTTTATTACTTCGAAACAACGCAAAACTGAATAATGCAAATTAACAGTTGTATTAACGAGTATAAGTCATTATCTTAAATAAAAAAAAGTTGCGCATAATAAGCAATTATGTTAAGAGATTTGCAATAATATTTTAATAACATTATGGCGTGAGAATAATACAAGAAATACAAAATTTCGTCTCACCTCACTCTCACGTAGTTTTACTTCAGAATAATACTTTTTGAACGTTAAGTTATTAGAACATATTAATGATAGAAATTTTAATTAGATTACCGAATTCAAAAAAATCCGATTGAAACGATTCGGAAATACATAAAATCGTACTTATGCTTTCCATAAAAAACACAAAATCTGATCATCAGAAAATTAAAAAAAAATTGTGAGATCACAAAAATCACATAGAAAAATATTGTTAAAAACCAGCACATATATAGGCAACCTTAGGTTATTCAAAATTCAAAAATATTGAAGTACTGAAAAAATCAGGGTCAAAATATTGGCAGATTGGCACGTAAGAAAAATTGTTTCGTGTAACTGCATTTATGTTTATGTCAAAAATCATCTTTTCTCATCAATATAACTGTAAGATTGGTTTCGAAAATGTGGTGTAAAAAATTTCATATAATAGTCATTTTACATTTAAATATATTTATTGAAATTTTTTATGCTTGTGGTAACGCGAATCTTATAATGAACTTTCAAGTATATCGATTTATAATTCAAGTGAAAAAAAATTGCACATTATGAGTAATCGTTACAGATGAGAGTTAAGAACACGAGTAAGATCTAATTCATCATCGACTGCTCGGATGATCTTTCAAAAGTTATTTGATTTCAATATAAATAGTTACAAAAATGTATCTGTCAACGAATAATTCACGATTCATCTATCTGGAGTTTCAAATTCAAAAATTGAAATGACTTTAAATCTCCACGATTTTTACTTCGTCAATTTTCGTGAGTTAAAGCATGATAATTGTTTAAATTCTGAGGTTGTATGTTCCTATTCTACTTCTTCGTCTGCCATTCTGCCTTCTCGGACTTCTTGGGCTGTGAAGAATAATACATTGCCTATTCAACTACGGATTTCTCTACTTTTATCTGGTTTATACTCAGCTCCATTAAAGACTCTTTCGATACTTTTGTAAACGTCTAAATAGTTATACTTCTCAATGTATCTCAAGAGCTTTAAATAGCCTTTAAATTCAGTAATGTATTGTTAAAATTAGTTACAATCTGCTTACTGACTGTTTGAGATTATTCAACATGAAAAAAAATACACGCAACATTTAACGTTCACTTATTAATCAACAGATGTAAATTAAGTGAATTGAACTTCTTAAATTTTGAGCAGATCTAGAATGTATATTTTTGAATTACTGAAAACTCCTTATCCAATCATAAAGTCGTTGTTTTCCATAATAATAAAAAAATAACTCGCAATGATATTTTTGATCGACATTGCCCTGAACTGCAATTGTAAAGAAAAAAAAGTTTTACCTCTTTGTCTTCTTCTTCGAGGGTGAACTCCTTCTTTTTGACTTGTTTGAGTTGGTTACGGAAGTTAAATTCAGCAGCCTTCTTTTGAAGTTTGGCGAATTTGTTTTCATATTTGGACACCTTTTTCAATGTGGGTTTCATGCTGGTAAAATAGAAAAAGGTAAAAGTATTAATTACAGTTCTAAGAACAGTAAGAATTTCTTTGTATGTAACATTCGAATAATACATCGAAATAATTTTACTCACAATTTACCACGGAGATCGTTGACTTGACTGTTCAATTCCGAAATCTGTCAAAATAAATGTATCATTGTAAAAAAATGTTTATAATCTCTCTTTGTTTACAGCGAAGCTTTCTATGCTCTTGAAAAGTGCTAGAAATTTTTCAAATTTATCAACGAAAATTAAATAAATAATTCAATGAATTATCTACGTGAAATTGGAACTTAATTGAGAATTAGCAAAGGATACTTATATTTATTGCAAAGCGCCCTACATTCAAATTTCTATAAATTAAAAATATTTCGATTAGTTAAAGAAAATCTCACACAAGTTTTAGTAGCACAAACTTAAAGCACTGAAAGCACTATAAATGGTTTTTATTTACAGGCAAAAGGAAGTATGGTAATTTAGGATATTCAAAGAGCATAATGTGAGGAAAGAATTGGAACATTTTTTTAAATGAATAACTAATAAATTGAACAGGAAAACAAAGAAAGTAGCAAATTACTTGTTTTGATAATGGAAAGGTATTAAAAGTACGAATTGTACTTTATTAAAACATAAAAAAGAAAGGTTTGAAATCACTCATCTCAAAAAGTTCTTGTTTATACTGTTTCAGAATATATTATACGAGAAAATCTAATGGAAATCGATACCTATATTCTAGTGCTATAAATCTAAAACTTTTTACACATTACTCAATGAAATTCAAACCATTTTGGTACAGGATAAACACAAATTTTGAAAGTTTTATTATCGTGAATGAGGGAATCCTTCCAATCGAAGGATTGAGGGTAAAAAGACAAAATTCGTTGATTCCACTAACGAATTTGTGAGTGAACTGTGAATCAACACTCACTTGATGGGATGTCTAGACAACTTTCCATGCTTGGTAAAGTATACTTTTCTAGTTTAGGAGTGGGGAAATTGAAAACATTATAATGACATGGCTGCAGGGCACAAAGGGTTTGTCCAAACCCCATAAATCATTATCTTCGTACAAAATTGATTATAATTCTTTTTCTCGAAAATCCACAGTTTTAATTGATTACGAGGTGAAAAATCAATTATAATAAATTCTGCACAACAACATCGAACTAAGAAATTCGAGGGTGAATAAAAAAAGTGTATAGAAAATATCTCTTGCTCTCGTTGCTGTTCGAATCGTCATTCATTAAGACGCAAGGAAAGATGTATGTTGTGGAACAGCGGCAATAAATCAGGCTGTTCGTTCTAACTGGTCATAATCAGTTATAATATTTTATAAGGAATGGCGTATCACTATTAGGGCGTTTTCATTTATATTATTTGATTCTTTTTATCGATAAAACTTTTAAATTGAAGTATAATTTTATAAAAATTAAACGATTAAATGAAAACGCAAATCCGTGATTAATGTTTCCACGTACTGGAACGGTTAAGCATGATAAAAAGCATGAATCATTTTCACATGCTACTTGGTGCAAAATCGGTGCGAGTCATCAAATAATTTCAAATTCAAATTTGAAATTGCTGTGCATATAATTAAAAGTCTTTTTAATTAAGGGCGAACTTATCAGCTAATTATTTTATTTCATCGATATATTTTGTGATATAATCATTTATTGGCAATTTATTTTCTTTTTCATTTCAAAAACCACGAGCATGTACGCTTTTGTAAACGAATAAGCACAATGGAAAATTCGATTGCAGAGAATCTCAGCATGGCACTTCCTACGTAGCGATTTTTTCGATGTCGTTGGTCGGAAAAATGCGTCCTTTTGTGAGAGCCTTAAGTGTATTTTTCACGTGATCTAAACTAATCAGTTCATAAATAGTCTTACCCTAATTCTTTCTTCTAACTATGTTTATCATCTATATCTATAATTTATTAGAAATGTTACCGAGATATTTTTTTTATGTTTGTAATATATGTCCTGAATTCTAGGTAATTCTTAAAAGTATTTTAACTTACGAATTATGAAGTGCCATACTTTTCCTTCTAACACTTAAATTTTTCGATTGTACCATATTTTTTCAAATTATACATCCTAAATCCATTATAATTATGAAAGTAAAATTATTTGATCAATTATTGATAGAAAATACCTTTACCTAGAGCTTTGCTTTTTTTATTATTCATGAAAACCTTTTGTTTATAAGCCATGCAGTGAGCAATAAAGCAATTTAAAAATTTTATACACTTTTTCTTTATAAGATTGAACTCAATCGATTTTGCACCGTGTAAATGTAAAAATTGTAAGAACTAGATCATCAAAACCGAAATAATTTCCAATAAAATTGAAAAACTCATCAATACGATGTAAATTTCTGGGGTTTAACCATTTCAATTCGACAGGATGATTCAAAATGAATAGGGACGTTATTGACTTTCAACAAAAACTTTTGTTAAATCATCTCTCGAAATCGAAAAAGTTACAAAATTATTATTAATGAACATTTTAATTGAAAGAGAAAGTTTTGAATTTACTATTTACTATTTGAAACTTATTCAGCTCGAGATAATTTAACAAAAATATTGGGTGTGGAACAATTATTATTCGCATGATTAGGCGATAATATTTTAAATGCATTTGCCACTACGTATAGCATTAAATAACTATAAGCTTGTCCAGCCCTTGCTAAAGATTTTGTGCATGATTTCTAATAATATTTTTTTCATTTAAATAAAAGTTAGTATAAGCTTGCTTATAATTCTTTGATCAAAAAATAAAAAAAAATAAAATCTAGTAAGCTCAAAAAGAACAGTCGATGAACTTTTCTTCATTCACTTTTTTAAGATTTACGTAAAAAAAGTTAATAAATAAATGCATAGACTAAATTAAATATAAAAAAGTATTGTCTCCAGTTTTAACTGTAAAATTTGAAAAATAAAAGTAATAGCACTTCATATAATTCGTAAAAATTAGTCTATTCATAAATAAAAATAGTCTACAAGTATGAAATTTGCAGGACTGACCAAGATTATAGCACCCAGATATAAAAAAAAAATTAATTTTCGGTTCTTGCGATCTTTTTGTAATTACGATGAAACTATTATTATTTTCGGTTTTAAATGATTCAAACGTTCTGTTTCATTGACATTTGATCTTGTATCATCTTTATGAATGGTAATGATATAAGTATGGTTATTGAAAAAGGGAATGAATGATTAAAATCAAAGTTTTAGGGGTCTTGATCCGCTATGAACTCATTTGAGTTTTTCATTACTATTAAAATGAGTTATTTTCCTAAACGCTCAGAGAATTTTATAGAAAATTAATTTCTTGGAGCTCGTATACTAAAAACACTGATGGTGTACAACGTTTGTTCTCTGAGCGTTTGGATTTGCGTTTTGCACTAAAAAGGTAATTTATGATTTTTAATATGACGAGAGCAAAATTAGGTATATTTTGCTTGAAAACCCTTTTTTCCGTTTAGTTTTATTATAAACTGTGCACGTTGATTTGATGGTTAAAAATACCTCGTAGTCCCTTTTTCGAACTTCACGCTCCAAATCCCACTTCTGACCCTCACAAATGTAGACGCGCTCATGATACTGTTTGCAAATCTGCTTCAATGCGGCTATAAAGAATATCAATTGACAAATCTACAAATCTGTTCATTTTCAACATAACCGGGATACAAATTTTAATTCAAAATACATTTTTAAATAATTTAATTTGTCGTTTGCAAAAAAAATAATAGCCCCGAGCCTTAAAGAATTTAAGAGACGTCATGATTGTCACATGATCCGTATATAAATAAAATAATGATGCCGATCAAGCATGATTATTTTCAGTCATGATCATCTGCTCTGAAAATTATCTCATAATAAAACCAAATGGCCTCTGATGAACAAAAAGGTTATTCATATTTTTATTTTCTCGCATGGTGCTTAGTTATGCGTATTTCAAAAAAACGCACGTGCATGTTTAATTCTTTTTTTTATATTAAATTTGTGATTTTAGGACAAGGTCGATAAATTGAATTGCATTTTGGGCTACATACTAATGGGGAGTTTCATAAAAAATAAGTGATGTACCACATTTAAAAAAAAGACATCAACAGGTGTATACAATGATTAACTAACGTGTAGGACTGACAAAATAGGAGTACAATTATCATTTCATCTCGTTATTTACATTAAAATAAAAAATGACAGTTAAAAAATACAAAATAATTTTTAACAAAGAAAAAACATAAATATTTGACCAAAAAAACATTCCGAAATTTAAACACTAATAACGATAGATTGATTTGTAATTGTGCCGATATTTGCGCCTTGTTTTTATCAGCAAAATACAAAATTCGAATCTCAGAAAGTTTGCTCAAAAGATTCCACGATGATAAAAACGTGCGCAATCAAGGATTTTAAGTAAAAATTTTGGGAATACACTTAATTCATTTCATAGGAGCTCGTTGAGTTTGGGTTTGATAAGGGATTTTTTTTTGTTTCAGACGGCTAGTTACCTCATAAGCTTTCATTGTACTTTGCCGTTCAAGGTCAAATTTATCACCCTCGAGATCGTACATTCTTTGCCAGAGGGACTGAACAATTGTCTGCAGCTCAGCTAAAAAAATAAAAATGCACGAACTAATTTTGTGGCCCAATTGGAATTTTCCCTTAGTATTTTGGTGAACCTTCGTCTATTCTTTTCAGTGAAATAGTGTAGTAGCTTATCACATTTTGAATTTGTGCTAATATCTATAATTTTCTTCGTGAGAGTATAGTTATACCACTAACTTTTGATCTCCAAACTTACTTATGAAAGATAACGTTAGAAATATTTTCAAAAAGTTCAACCTCATTCTGTTACTTTGACAATTCGATTGAACATGAAGAACATTCGAAAAATTGATTTATTGTCTTGATTCATCATTCTATATTTTGAAGATGCCATATTATTCATAAAAGAATATTTTGTTTCATTAAAAATAATTAGGAAATTCTCGATATCTCTGAAGTGTAAAAGTTGAATTTAATAAAAATTACTGTTCGACGGGGAAATGTATGTACTGCATATCAAGGAAAAATGCTTGTAAAGTTAATTTTTGTGTAAATAGAATGAATAAAATTACTTTTTATGCTAAATACTGTGCAGCAATATCATTCTTGCTATTATCCTAGACTACTCGGAAATATGTAGAGAAACTTATTAGTCAGGGCCAGAAAATAAATATTTAGTTCGCCTCATCAATTAACATAATATTCAGAATTTTAGAACTAAATATGAATATTTTGACCCAGAATTTTGAAATTTATCATTAAATTAAATAGTATGTCTACATTGCAGAGCATTAATAGCACTACCTGCACCAATCATTTTTAAAAGAAAATTAACAAAATATTATTGTGCCCTTAGTGAAAAATAACCTCGTGATCCTTTCTAGCCACTTCATATTCAAGATCGTACTTCTGCTCTTCAAGGACGGTGATCCTCTTATGATATTGATTAATAACCGACTTCACTGTCGCTGTTGAAAAGCGAAATATTGTGAATCGATGATCAACTAGATTTTAAACTTGAAACATTTTCAAGATCGTCATGTTATATGACAAATTATTTATACAGTATTCTAAAATTAGCAAGTAAGTGACCACTGTGTATTCTATAGGTTAACATTGTTTCTTAATATTAAATGCTTGAATTTTGTGATCGTTCAAGTGAGTAGAGTATTTCAACGATTTTAGAGATACCTTGACCTAACGTGAAATGAAATCTCAGAAACCTCTACACGTGTAAAACATGAATTTTACCAATGCATGGACTGAAATTTACATCAGAAGCCGGAGGATTGTGGAATTTTTGGGTTCTCGGAAGCAGTATGAAAGGATTATCGTCAAATTTAGCCCAGAGAAAAGACAAAAACAATTAGCGCCGACTTTTTAGTCAATGATATAAAAAAAAATCCCATACGTTGGTGCTGACCACAAACGTATTAAATTTATGCTTGAAGATAATAGAATATCGAAAAATGAAGAGTAGAATTTTGGAAAATAATGTGTAACACAATTTAGAAATATGTATGCAGAAAAATGCTCCAAAGATAGTCAAGTATATTTAGACAAGAAAATTGTTACATCGCATCTTATGAATTACTCGAGATAATTCTTATAGCTCAGTTAGTCACAATTTTCACGTCTTATACAAGTTTCAAGAAACTACCATAATAATATACGAAAAACTGTCATTCAAACAAATTAGAAAAAAAAATCGAGAGTATTGAAAGTGAATATATAGAACAATGAAGCATGTACGGCAAAATATTTATTAAGAAAAATTTAATTAAAAAAAAATGATTGCTTCCATTGATATATATTCAAACCCCATCCGTGAATGGCGAGTAGACGAGGTGTCAATGACAATTCTCAGTTATTAAAAATTTCAATGCTAAGCTTGTACTGTTTAAATGCTTTAACCGCAACATATAGATAGTTTTTGCACGAACACGATTAACAATCAAAAAAACAGCTTGAAAAACGCAAGTAATATACGATATTAATTTGTTTATATTTCTGCGACCAGCGCCCGACCGGGCGCTCGTCAAAAAAAGAAAATGAGAAGAAAATTGATTATTAGAGAAATTGTTGTTGTTTTTTTAGAAATACAAAAAATGTACAAAAAAAGTGTGTGTCAAAAAAAAATTGCGCGTTCATAAAATACCTCATAATCTTTCTTCTTGACAATATACTCGATGTCGAATTTCTTATCCTCCAATTTGGTAATTCTATCATGGTAATCGCGCAGCACCCGCTTCAATTGTTCTGCGCGAACGACGAAAAGTTGTTGTGTGTTTTCATTATTATCGTGTGTAGATTTATTTTAAAAAGAAAAATTTTTAAAGCTAGAATATCCATTTAATATTTTCCATTTGCTCGAAAGATTTCTTATTGATTGCATCTCTTGGATGTGTTAAAAATGTATTTTTTTTTCAGTGTACTCGCAGTATGCAAAACTAGTCTTTCGCAATTCAGTTGTAAATTTTAACAAAGTAACCATTGTCTCTAATTTTGGTTCGTACAAGTTACGAGAGCTACTTGATTCGACTCGGTAGTTTGATATAATTTTTGGCTTGGCCAAAATATATTTAACTAAATTTTTCGTGGGGAAAAAATTAAAAATCCTCGAGAATAGTATTGATAAACGTTAAAATACCTTCGTTGGCGTTATCGATGTCCTTGGGCTTTCCGCAACGCTCCTCGATGATACGCCTTCTCTCGGCTGCTTTCCTTTCCTGTTCTTTCTTCAATTCCTCAGCTGCTTTTTTACGCAACAAGAGCTAAAATACAAATTTCAGATTAGTATAAAATCATGCGATACGTCCCTACGTTATAAAAAAAAAAACAAGCGATTCTCACCCTGAGCTTCTTCTTACGGTCGGGTGTCATGAAACCTTTCTTGGCCTTCTTGGCCTTGCTGGCCTCCTCCAGGCGGGCACGGACTTCGGCCCTCTTCCTGTCAGTCTCTGCCTGTTTCCTCTTCTTTTCCTAAATATTTCAGTGTGCAAAAATGTTTGAGAACCCATTGATTAATGCGATAAGAGATTTTCTCAGAAAGTGTTTCCCCGTTAGTATTTAAAAGGTAATTTGTGTTGAAAAAAAAAGAAAAAAAAACGTCAATAAGAATATGTCATTAAATATTATGTAATAGGTGAATCTCTAAGTCTCGTTTTCCTTTGTTACGTACATCCTCGATGCGCTTCCTCTGAAAATAAAAGAAAAGTCGAGCGTTAATATCATTGCTTTACATTCAAATCGTTTGAAATTTTAATTCTTGTGCAAAGTTTAATTATTTAAGATATTTTATCATGATTTTTTTATTTTGAACCAAATAAAGTTTGTTTTTTTTTATCAATTTTTATTTTAATTTTTCATCTTTACGTAATTTCATTTTAAAATTCGAGTGAGTAATTCTATCAACGTATCATTATTACTCATGCTCAAAATGGCAAATCTAATTTTACAGAAAATTTGTTTTCTTAAATCGACATCCAAACAAAAACAACATTCTATTCTAGTATTAGTACGCATAGCTTTTCACACAAAAACTATATATGAGTGTAATTTTTTTATAAATGTATAGTGATCGAGTGTTTTTACATTACCCCTCTGTGTGCTCCTGTGTACAGGTGTTGTTGAGTTGTATCGAGTTTTAAGTTTTATGGATCTATCGTTCGCGTAAGTAAATCGGAAAGATATCGCGAAAAATCGAATTTTTTCTATCGGGCAACGAACTTTGCGCGCTTCGATGTAAATTTATGGCCGCAAAGTCGGAGTATAAGTAAAAATACAAGTTTGTCTATGTCCGTGTGTCTGTGTGTACTTGCAAGCGCTTCTCTACGGCGTGGCGGCTTTTCATAATACATGAACTTTCTTTCACTCGCGTTTATCCCGCAAAACGCGCGTGTCTATATACACGAGCTCGTTCGCGGCGGCCGAGTTATAAAAAGCATAAAAGTGGGTGAACGTCAGTGGAGCGTTCCCGCAACGAGTCCGCGTTCCTAAGACGTGAAAAAGCTCGTACATATATAGGCTTCCATCTTGACTCGCGCTAATATTACTACCGAAAATTTCGGGGGAGTTTCCCCTATATATCGTTCCTCGTTTTGCTGCATGTATAACCATGATGATGTGATGACGGTATTGTATAGATGTATATAGAGTCACATATATATATCGTATGCATATATATCTAAGAGGTGCCGGAGCGAGGAGAAGACAGAGTGAGCGAGAGAGACGGAGATAAAGAGGGCGAGTTGAAGCTTCTAAATTGGTATACTAGGTTAAACTCCGCGAGAAAGCCCTAGAGACTCCACGTGAAATTTTTTTTCTCTTTTTTCGCTTTTTCCCGGTGTAATATCGTCCGTGTATATGTATGTAGATGTAAGGTTAAAACTTGACTTTATGTAGGCCGAAAACGCTCGAAAATTTAGTATAGCCGATTAACATTTTCAGGCGCGCCAGCAATTTGGCTGTGGAAATTTTTCCCCGAAAAAATATGATGAATTTCTGGCGATTTAATAATCGAATTATATACCTCGCGCGTTTATATACCGAGAAAATTAAGAAAATAAGTTACATTAGAATTAAAGTAATTTCATTTTTTTTTGCTCCGTCTCTCTGCAAGCTCTGTCTCTGCCTCTCTCTCTTTCTCGCAGTCTTTGCGAGTACATCTCTCGTACACGGGCACCAAAGACGAAAAAGTTTATTCACAGGCAGAAAACCCAAGGCGTCGCGTCGCAGCAGTCGGTCGCAGTTAATTTATGCACCGACGAGAGACAACGAATGCTCCTTGAGTTTTGCCGTAGTTATACATGTACACACTCTGCGCGACTCCGGTGTGTGCTTATATACACTGGCACATTGGGAGCACGAGTACGGGTGTGTGCGTAAAATAGAGGTAGTATAAGTTGGGATACACGAGCAGTTGAAACTGCCGGTATTTATTTATACGTATATGTATACACACAACTGTAACAGCGCACGTTAATTTAAGCAATGCTGAAGCGATATGTCGTACCTGTTAAAATAAAATATTCATACTGCACGGCGCCGAGATCATTTTTTTTTTCATTTCGTTCAGTTCGTTTGTTTTTTTTTATGCGTTCCAGATGAATTTTTTTGGCGTTCGTCGAGCGGGTCGATGTATAATTGTGTCGAGGTGTGATGGCCAGCAGCAGCAGCAGCAACAATGAAAACATCAGAAAGTCATGGATGAATGACGTCAGACGGAATTCGGCGAGGCGAAAAACGAGTACATGGAAAAAAATGCAAAAAATTTTTAATTAATTAATTTCGTTCGTCGCTTTAGCGAGAGAGAGAGAGAGATGTAAAAGTAACTTGGTATAACGTATTAAATGTTTCGGAAAGTTTGTGCAGTTTTGTATTGTTCTGTAACGGTGTAAATATGAGTCTCGTATAGTATATAATTGTGAATGAAATTTTTTTCTGTACTTGGTAATGTTTCGAAAAAGTCTTTGCATGAGAATAATTTTGATTAAAATTGTTTAAAATGTTTTTAATTGGATCGTTTTTTGCTTTGAATAATGTAAAAATTAATGTATCAAATGTTGCTAGCGGGGAATACTCTTTTCAATTCCAACCCGCTACCAACGGTCAAAAGTCACCCTGTAAAAGTCATCAAACTTCATCAACACATTTCAGCGTATCAAATAAATACTCGATAACCGATAACATCTCAAGATGACCCTCGAAATCGATACATACCTAACCTCATCGTCAGCCATGGCGGATCCTTGTTGTTAAATCTGCTGTCTGTGAAAAAAAAACAGAAAAAAAATCATTTAAATCATCGTCGTATTCATCGCAAGCTCCCTCGCGTAATTTTGCAACCGATGGTTACGCATCGGGCGACGAAAAATGTCACACGCCTCGCGATATATACAAAAATACACGGATACGTGTGATTTTATCATCGAGCTTGCGAGAGAGACAGAGAGAAAGAGAGAGACGACCAGTGTGTTACGATATACAGGTATAGTAGTATCCGGTGCGCTCAAAAATAGTTGAAAGCGACGTGTGGCAGAGTCTTTCCTCTTTCTCTCTCGCTCTGTCTCTTTCGTTCTGCGCGCGAGCTTGCAACGCCATCCAAATTTGGTTACAACAACTGTGCGCGGCTCGGCGTAACACCATCATCGTCGTCACCTCGCGATAACTATATCAATTTTCTCCAGCGGGGTATATTTCTGGATTCGTATAAATGAAAAACAGAAAAACAAAAAAAAGAAGAAGAAGCGTAACGCGTTACGCGGAGCCAGGGGCCTCGAAATTCGTGTATACAAAATATTTTTAAAAGTCGCCGGAGTGAGAGAGAGAGAGAGATTTTATTTCGGTTCTCCGGTATTTTATTTTCCAACGCGACTCTTCCCCCTCTCTCTCTCTCTTTCCATTTAGCAAAGAGTGACCCTGCGTATGCACAAGTGCATTTTCAGTGAAATATTAGCGATTAAAAATGTTGATGGTTTCGAAGTGGAGGTGGTGGGTGCTGGTGGGTACATTAGGGCACGCGCGCAACACTGCACATAGCTTTTATCTTGGCCGAATGCTCCGCTGCGAAACGAACGAGTCACTGACCTAGAAATTCACTGAAAAGCGAGGGAAGGAACAGAGAGAGACGAGGGTTTCGACTCTCTCGGACCAAGACTGCTCTGTTAGCCTTTAATGCCGTAATACTCGCCAACGAAACATAAATCAAGTAGTACCTACGTATAGGTGGTAGTAGTTGTTTCGGAAATTGATAAAAAGCACGATATTTTTTCTATGATCGTTGAATATTATCATTCGTAAATAAAATTACTAAATGAAGCGATAAAAAACATACGAATCGAATGCTTAGTTAAAACCAAATTTTTCAAAGTCGTTATAAGGCAACTCGTTCGCGCGTTTCATTTCGTTTGACCCAAATTAATCAATCGAGAGAGATGAAAATCCTCATAAAAATACGTATAATACGCAAATATCCGCGCGATGCGAGTCGAAAAATCTATTTTCTGCGTTCATTCCGAGCGGAGGAATTACGTAAGCTCCCGGTTTTAAAAGGGGAACTCGTAAACAATGATCTTGCCGTAAAAATATACAAATCTTATATATATGAGTGCGTGCTGTAAGCGAAGGTATGTGCTTTCTGTGGCGGTGGCGGCGGCGGCGTCAGAGAGGCAGGCAGGCAGGCCTGTGTGAGCGCCGCGACTCTTTATATTTATAAACTTGCGCGCGAGCGTATACGAGCGCTACGGGCTTATAAGCCGATCGGACGCCTAAGTTTAGACAAGAGAGAGATATTCGTGCTCGGCAGTGGTAGCAGCAGCAGCAATAACACGTATGATGCATACGCGCTGCTTTTCCCAAGGCGAAAAATTTTAAACCCAAACTCTCGGACGGAAATTATTATATTTGCGTAATTTCGATTCGTGATGTTACAAAAAAAAATAACGTATATAGTCGATGTAATCAAAATAATTCCGAGGCGGCTATTTAATGCTATTTTTGGAGTACACATAATTTTTGCGCCCGAAAAATCGCGCTTTTTCAGTAGACTATTTCAAATCAACCGGAGGGAAGGCACGACTTTCAAAATCAATTATACTGGCAATGAAATATCTCTAATCGAGCGTGCGAGACCACAGTGAAAGTATCTATATACTGCATCCCTGCACTGTCAATAAGCACACGCCGTTGACATATTCATTGCTCTTTTCCGGCCCGTGTGTGTGTGTGTATCTGCGCGCTTTTATTAATAACGCGTGCATTCGGATACGGAAATGTTGGCGGGTTGTGCATCGAGAGCCCGCAATCGATCGCGGGCACGCAGAGGCTTGAAATTTTCGATCGAGAAAAAAATTCCTTCGAACTTTTGCCAATTGGGCTTTTGCAATTGTATATACGGGCATATGTGTGTCCGTGTGTGTCGTTCGAGAATAAAAATTTCGAGTCGCGTATACGAAAAGAGCTGAGAGTCCGAGAGGTTCTCTAAATATAAACTAATACCGACACACACACGCACAAGCACACAAACGACTTGTCGCGCGCGTCCGAGATAGGTGTCACTAAATTTAGAAAAGAACTTCGCTATTGGCCAATCAAGAATTTTTGCGAACAATACTATACTACAACGCGACATCGAGCAAAAGTCCCGACACTTTTTCTTTGAGATCGAATCGACGGGAGAAAAAGCCGTAGAAAAGTTTGATACTGGCATTTAAACGCACTCGCGAAATCACTCAAGAGGTAATAGTATTTTATTAACACGCGTGTATAAATAGAAAAAAAAGCGCCCGCTCGAAAATAACTTGTTTTTTTTTCTCCTCGTTGCAATCTATCTGGTCGTGTTGATTTTTCAAACTTAACACTTGCACGGAATTCTCGAGATAATCTGAAGAACCTGAGAAGTATTGGAACACTCGTTGGTCGTTTTTTTTTTTTTCAATGTTCAATACTCACTCCTCGGTGGGTTAACCAATGATAATTAAGATGTTACAATGTCACCAGTAGAATGTAGAAGCAGCAGTTTTATCTACCAATCGAATATTTATTCGGCCTCACAACTCACAATTCAATTCACGCGTGTATTAATTTATTAAATCTGCACCAAGAACCAATTGGCGCTTATTACTTCCTATACGATTTCACTCCGATTCGCACACTCTTTTAATTCAATTTTTCTTTTTCAAATTGTATGTATTCAAAATGATGCCCCGACGATATATATCTGCGGAATCTCAAAACAGCCTTACCTTAAAGATGTAACTGTTAACCGTTCGAACGGTTGTGCGTGACTGAACACTCGGCAGAATCGCTCGCCCAGAAGATGACTTCTCGAGAAGTAGTCGAGCGGACGGCACGACCAGTGCTCATTGGATAAGACGTTTTTAGGATTTAGCCCCTCTCTCTCTCTCTCTCTCTCTCTCTCTCTCTCTCTCTTTTGAACTCGCGTCAAAAATAGACCATAACGCCAGAGAGAAGAAAACACAGGCGAGACGCGTATGCTCGCGGCAGCCGCAGCAGCAAAATCGTCGACTTTGGTGATAATCGCGCGGAGAGAGAGCGGGTGAACGGGTAAAAAGCCACCTCCGCGATGTAAGTGTATATGCGTGTAGTAGTAGTATGCGTGTTTATTATATTTGCGAAATCACGGCGAGCTTTTTTCGTGCTCGGAACGGCAAGAACGATGATTTCGGAAACCAGCGAAAAGCTACTTGCCTCTCACTATTCATAGACCCGTGTGTGGCGTTATTATTATTTTTTTTTTTTTTTGCTGCTTTCTCAGACGTTTTGAAACGATCGAATCTTCCATATATACGGACTATAAATATGTGTGTCATTTGCGGCTACGATTTAAAAAAATTTCTTCAATGCTGTGCCAATTACACCGTGGTACGGTAAAAATTAGGTGAAAACTACTTAGCTGCGCGCAGGGGATTAATTTCATTTTAAAGCGAAAAACAAAAACGCATACCAAAAAGCATCTTTGTTTACGAAATTTCATAAAAAGAGCTCTCGCATTTTTCAATTTTTCACCGCCGCTGCTTGCGCATTTTGTCGAATAATAATACTCTCTCTCTCTCTCTTGCCTTTTAGCAAATGTATATAGGGAGCTTCATTCATTTGCCTTTCTCTCTCTCTCTTACGAGGCATTTCGCATAGAAGAGAGCTTCGTGAATTTCAGTGCTTGCGCGAGCTTATCCCAGAAATACGAACGTACAATGCGCGCGTTCTGCGTTATAAGCTGTATATAGAAAACCATTTGTCCCATTGTGGAAGCCAAAAGCCCTTTGTGTCCCAATTAACGAAATAATTCATCGCGAGGCAGATAAATAGTAATACTGTAAATTTGTTCGCATCAAATTAGTTATTGTGTGTTAGTTATAGAAATGCAGGTCTCGCAGAAATTAATTCAAGAGATGATTGATTGTAGGATTGGTACGAAGGCAATTTCTGCGGATTGATCTTGGGTCTGAATGCAGTTTTTTTTTATATAAACTGAACGTCAGAATTGAAGTTGGAAAATTAAACATTTAACAGTTTTATGATTAAATCAGTTGAACGTTGATGAAAATTTCGAACGATATTATTAACAAGGCGTCAAAATTATTGGCTCAATGCCACAGAATATCACATTTACAATGGTTCGGTGGGATTCATGTCAGTATGATTTTTCTCTTTTAAAGCACAGTTTGGAGCACGTTATGAATTTTAGAAAATTTAAATGCTTATGCTCATGGGCTCGAGCTGGCGTAATAAGTACGTACAAAATGATTTTAAATAACGATAAAGTTAAAAATGAAAAAACTTGTTTAGAAGATACCAAATTCAGGGTAGAAATTAAAATTTTAAAAGATTATATCATTTTTAGCTTGTTACAGTTCATAAATTTTACTTCCGACGTTGTTTTTCTGCTTTTTGAAGCCTACACACTTGCAACCGAACACACATCGATGAAAGAAACAGTCACGTATGTGGCGAGAGCTGGGTCATTTGCCTACATACAACTTCACATTCATAGTTATGTTTACATTTTCAATTGGGTCAAATTAAAAATATGTCAGCTTGATAAACTATCAATAGAAAAATTAATCAAACTGTAGATTTCGCAATTTTTTGATGTATTATAATAAAATAAAAATTATCATATTAGTCAATAAGTTAGGATTTTCTATTATTCAAAGATACATCAGTTGAAAAACTGATCAACTGCAGTGGGAATAGTTTTCCTGGTACAGCAGTGATCGCAATTTACCGTTAGGTGGTAGTTTTCTTCATTTTCAACCCTCGACTACAGAGGGCGCATAAAGTGTGGAGGAAAATTTTTATCAATGAAAAGCTCTCAAAAATTATAAGCAGAGTGTTGGATTAAAACAAGAATTTGTATACTTTGATGACCATTTGATTCATGATAACTGATCATAAAAATTTACTAATTGATTAAACACACCATATTGAATGATTTTTATGCCATGATTCAATGAAATTAATTACTTGACGTTTTTTTCAATATTTTTTTTTGTAAAATAATTAGTCTATTAAAAGAAACTTCTTTAGGATTTATTTTCATTTAATTGAAAAAAGGTTATTCTATCCAAATATTCACCATAATAGTTTGAGAGTTTAGTTTGACTGTACATTCATAGTTGTCTTATGTAAGGTAAAAGAAATTCAAACCATAATTTTCCTTCGGCGATCCGGTCATTTTATGAATATAAATCTATAACATCAGTTCAACCCCTAAACCAAAATAATACATAACTACGCTAAACTATTACGTTTAGCATAACGTATCAAACCTTTGCATTTTTTACGCAATTAATATCATTCGTCGTCAAACTTCATGTACATGAAAGTTAGAACAAGCAGTTTTATTTTTTATCCCGAAAAACCATTCTATTATGTATTTTGCTACATTATGCACACCCGGAAAATACGTACAATTTGACACGCGCAATTACACGGGAAACAATGTACCGAAGTTCATTTTGACAGCTAACTCAAAAGTACAACGTGTATACCAGTCGGGTCAATTTAATTAAACTTGAAACGTGTGTTGCGTGACTGCGCGCGAGGCACCTGAGCACTACACTGGCAATTTTCGCACACAATTTTCAGGACACGTAATTCGCTCCGAGTGTGCAATTTTTAGCGGATAGAATTTCTTACCCTTGATTAGCTGTTGACTGACCTTGATGACCTCCAACACCTTGAGAAATCTTTCGTGCTGCATTGGAATTATGTAGATTGTTTTGTATTAAACTAATCGTATTTTGAATGAATGGAAAAAAAGTGTTAATATTATAACGTTACGACTTTAACATCCTCGATTTATATAATAATCTCGGGTAATAATGAGCTCCATCAGCGATCCTTTAATTCAATCATAAACAATCGAAAATTCGATTCGCCAACACATAATAGCCGCTGCACTATACTACAAACAACGGCAGAGTCTCAATATCGCATCTTCGAGGCCTAACATAATACACACATAAAATCGACGTATGGATATTATATCGGCGCTCGAGTGCTGCGAAGTGTTCGTACACACACACACTCCATATATCTATACGTGCATTGAGCGAGCGAGGGTGGCTTCGGGGGTATATATCGTCGTCGGCGGCGGCGGCGGTGGCTGCCGTGGGAGTTGGATTCTATTTTTAGAATGTGGGTCACCCATAAACCTGCGATACAGTTATGCTGCGAGATAGACGGCGCGCGCGTGTGTCCCCNCCACCACCAGTAGTACCAGTCGTCCTGGCAACACAGAAGAAGAAGAAGGATACGTCGGGTCAACTACCCGCGCAGCAGCAGCGGTAGCAGCGACCAATTCATGTAAATTGTTATCACCCGATCGTACAAACAATGCGCAGCTTTCATTGTGCGTATACGAATATGGGCTGCGTTGGTAACCCAGGGTCATGGATGTTAAGATTTGTGAATCGGCAGAAGGTCAATGCTTCGTTTTTATTTTTATTTTTGTTTTACAAAATTTGAAAAGATACTTATCGATAGATAGAGTTTGCACACTGACCAAGATAAACGGGGTCGCTGGGCAGATATTTTTTTTTGTGTCGTAAAATGGTGACCTTGCAAATTGGAGATTCCTCCATTGTTACTCTCTGTACCAATGCCAAATTTTAAAATACGATAAAGAGAAAGAGATCGTTATCGCAGCGAGGCAATCGAAGTAAATTCGCGTTCGAGATAAAATTTCGAAATTTCGCAGCCAATTGAACTGCGACGAGTCGATAAAATATTACGTTGGAACAAACCAAAAAAGAAGAAAAAAAACTCGAGCTTAAGGTTTATTTCGGACAGTCGATGATACCAATTGTTATTTCGCTCGGCTGTATCGTAGCGCGCGCAAAAACGACAGAAATAGATTTTGATACTATTTATATATGACATCGGTTCTTCCAGGAAGGAAGAAGCGCGGCGCAGCGTTTGGCGAACCGCAAATCGCGATCGGCTAATTATAAACTCATATCTCTGAATGTCGTGCGTGTACTTTGAAAAGTTTTTGGCCACCTGAAAAATTTCTTAGATGAACGACTTAAGGAGGTTTCCTTGGGTAACACGCTAGTCAATTGAGTGTTCACTTAACATGAGTTAAGTTAGCTGACTTGTCGTTTGCTAGCCCCAAAACGAGCCGAAGAAATCTTGTTTTCGAGTATTTTGTTAAAAAAATATTGAAAAAATGGCAGGCTACCTCTACTTTGAGACACGGTTTTTGAAAGATAAGAACTTTCTTTAAAATTTGTATATGATCATTCCCTTGCGAACTTTGATTTCTTTTCATAAATTGTAAATGTAGCTCAAATTTTCATCCATTTCTATGTTGCCCATGCACTGATAGAAATTTACGAACTCCTTAGAATTCTTGATTTTCTTGACGCATGACGAAAAATTACTTGTCTCAGGTAAAATGTGGTCTTGTTTCATGAAATCCTATAATTCTTGAGCCAACCACAGCGGATTTCATGACGGAGTTCGTAAATTTCTATCAGTGTGTTAATTTGCGAAACTTTGATCGCATTTTTCTCGAGATTTTGCCTGGCTTGGGCATATGAGAGTTATACCATTGGGTTCGGGAGGTAAAACTCTATCGATATTGATATATGTACTTCTTGAAAAATTGAAGGGCACCATCTCATGTTGAGTGTGTGCAAATCGTGCTGTAACTTAAATACATTTATTTTTACTTTACCACTTGCAGATTCATGCAGATAAAGGTGCTCGCCATCTAGTGGCGGATGCTGAAAGTAGTATTATCGTATGTAAAGTGACTGAAAAGAAGTCTTACATTTAGAGTCAATTGCCATTTTCAGATCACTCAAAATGCGCTGCGTAAAAGAAAAATCGTCAAAAACAAGAAAATTTAAAAACATTTCAATAGGTCATTTTTTATTCTATTGTCAATTGATAAAAAGTCACTAGATATAGTTATGGATTGTCTGATTTGAGAGAATCAAGACGTTTATTGACAGCCAATTTGTCAAGTCGAAGCACGCCGTGTTTTCTTTTTCTTATTTCTCTGAATATTTTAGAATTATTCAAGCATCTCTCATATCCATCCAGCACACACCAATCATATAACGCAGCAGCCGCTTTTGCAAATAAAATCAAGCTCTCCGAAGGCTCTCGAGAATACGGGCTCTCTTCTCTCTTCTCTCTTCGTCGGATATATGCATGAAAAAAAAAAATAAATAAAAAAGATGAAAATCAGCCGAGAGCTGCGCGCGGACGCAATTACAAGTTAATTCGCGAATACGTCTGACTCTCCTCCCCCGCGCCCGTCGCGTTTCGCGCATATAATACGAAGCGTACAATGCACATTCGCAGCAACGAATTCAACCGGAGAATTACTCTCTCGATAAAATTCAAGCTTTCTCTCTTGCGCCCCCGAACATCCCTATTGCTGCTCTGTGTGCCCCGTATGTATACATAATAAAATATACGCGCGCACCTCCGCTGGAAGCTGCCCTGTGTGTCTGTGTGTGTCTGTGCGTATATACGACCCAGTTTTGCCCGGGCAATGACGTTAAGAGAGAGTAAGGAGTGACGTCATGCCGCTTCGGGATCGGTCCACGAACTAGGTCGTGCGCCAGAGAGACGCACACACACACACATCCACATGGACACACATTTATCCTTAATAACAAGCAAATCAGCAGAAGGACGACTTCCTGGTCCAGGGATGCATGTATCCATCGTTATCCCGAAATAAAGAGAGAGAGAAATATTTTTTTAATAAGTAAATGAATGAATATAAACGAGATTTCGGATTATCCGCGATTGCCCTATGCTGAAATTCAAAACGAGTCATGTCCAACCTCGGAGCTTGATTATAAATTGAAATTCGCGTTCGTTTTCGCTTGTCAAAAGCGAGGAATTTTAAATGTTTAACGAGGTAATAGATCGATATTTTATACGAATTTTGATGAATAATAATGACGTCGTCTCGATTTCAAATGGGATAATTTTTAAATGACTGAGAGTAACAATACCTCGTTAGCGTTTGCATCGCGCAGTGAAAAAGTAAAGGCGTCGCGATTGACTCGATTCGGAGTCGAATTACCGGGAGGTAAACAAACGCTTATCGAGAAAACAGAATGAAATACGGAAAAAAATCAACTTATTCATAAATAAATTATGAATGAAAGATGCGGAGCTTTTACGGATGTATATAGAAGCTGCTTGTGCTTCTCGCACTTTGTAAGCTTCTGGCCTTCACCATGGCAGATAGCAGACAAACATTTTCCTTTGCCGAAGGTTAAGTAATATAATATCTCTCTCTCTCACTCTCTCGTTGCTCATTCTCACGCATCGAACGAACGAACGAACAAGCGAGCTGCATCATGCTCATTTATACGATGGGGTGGAGAGAATAATGCAAGGATGGGCTTGCAATTGTACACGCGCAGCTGCTGCTGCTGCTCCGAAAGGCGCGCAGAGATACACAGGGCGAGAGAGAGAGAGAGAGATCTCATGAATGGCCATCTAATGTGAATGAAGCTCCAGTGACCCAGTTCTCTCTGCGTTGCGTTGCCTTATGCGCGCGAGACTCGACCTCTCTCTCCTGCTGGCTTGGCTTGGCTGCATGCATCCCTACTCTCCCTCTTCTCCTTCTTCGTTTTTTTTGTTTGCGCTCGGAAAACGGGCAATTTTGTTACGTCAAGAGCTATAGCGAGCTTGCGAGCGCACGGATTATTACATCCTATATAGATGCTCGCGGCTGTATATGCATGCAAGCTCTCAAGCTCGCACGCACTCGGCCCTAAGGCTGGCCGTGTTTCATCGTATTATATCGCGTGGATGGATGGGGGAAAAAGACTCAAATTGCATCGGATAATCAGTTTTACAATTCTTCTTCTTTTTTATTTACACACTTAAAAATCAATCGATTCGTTACTTATTCATCGCTCAGTCTATGCAACGATACATTTATTCATTCACAATGTAATTGACGATCCTCGAAGCTTACGTGTACAACCTCGTCACGATACGAACTTTTTCTTCGATCTTACAACGTCTTCAAGTGCGCCTCCTGGTTGTGCTGCCTCCACTCTTCCACACTCTCGAAGCTGCGCCCGCACACCCAGCACACGCACGTGTTACACCCGTCGTGTATTATGTTGTCGCCGCCGTGCGCGGCTTTGTAGTGGTCGTGCGCCTGCCTGAAGCTGTACTTGTGGACGCGGCCGCCCTCGCCCTCGCATTTGTGCATCAGCTCGAGATAGTTGTGCTTGCAGTGGATCTCGAACTTCCTGAGCTTCGGGAACTGGCGATGGCACTTGGTGCAGACAAAAGCCTTTCGCCATTTGGATTTTTTCGGTTGGCTGATAGAGTCGTTGTTGGATGTGGTGCTATTCGACGTCGCTTCTGGCCGTTGTCCTCCTTGTCGCTGCTGCTGCTGCCGCTGTTTGGCGACCGGAGCTGCCGGTGATTCTGGCTCGGCTGTTGTTGTTTCCGAACTCTTCAAGACGTTGCTCCACGAGCGAGGCGTTGGAGGAGTCGTCTCGTCCTTTTTCGTCGAGGTCGTTGGCGAGTGACGCTTCATGTGCATGTCCAAGACGCTGCTACTGCTGCACTCGGCGCCACAAAGACCGCAGACGTAATTTTGGCTCGATCCATCGGATTCGGCTCGATTTTGCTGCTGTGGTTCGGCCGCTCGAACGATATCATCTGGATTTTCCTCGCAACGATCGTCCCAATTGGAAGACTCTAGATCTGCGTCGTATTCGTCTTCAGGGTGTTCGTAATGATCTTCCGAATATTGCGCGCCGTTATTATCTCCTTCGTGATCATCTTGTTGGCAGCGATACGCTTCGGGTGTTTCATTATCATCTTCCAAATCATAATATCCTAAACAATGTGCACCATCTTCTTCATCTTTTTCATGACCATCTTGTGGGTAGGAATGCTCTTCTGGTCTTTGATTATCACATCTTCCATCATTATTTTCATGTTGTTCATTAACCCTTTCACATTCTTGATAGCTATCTCCCTCATTATAATCAGGTTCCTCGCATTCACCTTCCAATGTCTCGTCAAACTCTCTTTCATAAAAGTCTTCTGAAACATTTTCACCTCCGTCTTCTTGATGATGATTTTCTTCAAGATGCGGGGATAGTACTTGCGGATAGTAATGCCCTTCGGATGCGTCACTATCCCTACTTCGATCATCGTTCTTATCATAATTGTGCTCTCCTTCACCCGGCGGATGACACTCGGCGCTCAGAGCGTTGCCCCGACGATCGTTTTCAGGCGATTCGACGTTCTCATTGTTTCGATGAGTGGACGGCGCCGTGCCCTCGGCCATAACGTAATAAATTACAGGATTGCCGGGGTAAGGATATTGTTGAGCATGTCCCTGAAAATGTGGATTGCCGACTGCATACATTTGAGGATTATGTGGATCGAAAACTTGCAGAGAATAGCTCGGATTGATTTGGTAATAAAAATTTCCATAAGTACGTGGATCTACCATTTGATACTGTTGAGAATTGCTCGAATTGAGATGTTGTTGACAATCACCACGATGATTTGGATCGACGACGGGAATCATTTGAGGATTACTTGAATTGAGAACTTGTTGAGGATTGCTCGAATTCAGAACTTGTTGAGGATTACTTGAATTGAGATGTTGTTGAGCATTTCCATGAATATGTGGATTGGCCATTTGATATTGTTGAGGATTACTCGAATTCAGAACTTGTTGAGGATTACTTAAATTTAAAACTTGTTGAGGATTACTTGAATTAAGAACTTGTTGAGGATTGCTTGTATGGAGATGTTGTTGAGCATTTCCATGAATATGTGGATTGGGCATTTGAAATTGTTGATGATTGCTCGAATTGAGAAACCGTTGAGGATTACTTGAATTAAGAACTTGTTGAGGATTGCTTGTATGGAGATGTTGTTGAGCATTTCCATGAATATGTGGATTGGGCATTTGAAATTGTTGAGGATTGCTCGAATTGAGAAACCGTTGAGGATTACTTGAATTAAGAACTTGTTGAGGATTGCTTGTATGGAGACGTTGTTGAGCATTTCCATGAATATGTGGATTGGGCATTTGAAATTGTTGAGGATTGCTCGAATTTAAAACTTTTTGAGGATTGTTTGAATTCAGATGGTGTTGAACATTTCCATTAATATGTGGATTAGCCATTTGAAAATGTTGAGGGTTACTTGAATTGAGATGATGATAAACATTTCCTTGAATATGTTGATTGGCCATTTGAAATTGTTGAGGATTACTTGTATTGAGATGTTGTTGATGTAATGGGCCATGATGTGGCATCTGCTGATGATGATTCATATTGTTGGCCTGAGGAATATTCCCAGCAGCATATGGACCATGATCTTGCATCTGCTGATGTTGATTTATATTATGGGCCCGATGGATATTTTCTGGTGGATGTGGGCCATTATGTTTAATCTGTTGACGATGATTCATATTGTTGGGCTGGTGGATATTTTGCGGAGCATATGGGCCATTATGTTGCATCTGCTGATGATGATTCATATTATTGGCTTGATGGATATTTTCTGGTGGATGTGGTCCAGTATGTTGAATCTGTTGAAATTGTCTCCGATTGTCCGCCTGATGGATATGCGTAGGAGCATATGGGCCATGATGTTTCATTTGATGATGATGATTCATATCATTGGCCTGATGGATATTTTCGCGAGCATTTGGTTTGTTATATTGTATTTGTTGAAGATGTTTCCCATTTTCGGCCTGATGGATATTGTCTCGAGCATTTGGTCCACCTCCTTGAATCTGTCGATGATTAGTCTGATGATTTACTTGCGGCTGTCGCACTTGATCTTTCTTGGCGGCTGCTCGAATGAAGTCCTTCACATTTTCTTCGACGATCTCGTTATTCGTATTCGTATGAGCAACTGACTCCGAGTTCACATTTTTACCGAGGTCGTTCGCTTTGCGACAATTCGAATTTTGATCTTGATGAGCATTTTTACGAGCAGAGTTTTCGACGTCCGAGCAGGTGAGAAAAGCATCTTTTCCGACCTCGCAACCTTCACTCTTGAAGTAATCATCATCGCTGTCGTCGTCGAGTTGATGCAATGTTTCATGGTTTTTAACAATTGGCGATGGTTCTTTATCGAATTGAATGATCGTTTTTTTGCTTTTGTTATTTTGCTCGTCGGTCGACACCTGCCTCGGCGAGCTGGTTTCGGGGAACACGAAACTCCCGTGGGGTCCCGTCCTGGGCGTGCTAATTGCCGGACTCATCGGGACTTTTAAGCTGATTCTTTTAGTAGAAGTCTCTGGCACGCGATTCGAGCGATCATTTGTATTGTTAGAAAATGATACGTTTTTGTTGATTTTCGTATCAGGACTTTCCGGAACGTCTTTGCTGATTTTCTTAGCAGAACCTTCGGGGACGTTTTTGCTGATTTTCTTAGCAGGACCTTCGGGGACGTCTTTGCTGATTTTCTTAGCAGGATCTTTGGGGACGTCTTTGCTAATTTTTTCATCTTTCTTCGAGAGATTCGAGCGATCAATTTTATGTATATTCGATTCGACGCCAGAGTCACGTTGATCTTTATTTGCAACCTGGAATTTTGCATTGGGCATAACTTGATTATTCGCATCAGATTTTCGTAAATCTTCATTTCCATTTTTTACCTCATTTTTCGGATCGGACTTTTGATTGACTCCTTCCGTTTTATCTTCAGATTTTTTCGAATCTTTTTTAACAACTTCGTTGTATCCCAACCGGTTGAAAACTTTAGGTATCGTACCAGTATTTTTAACTTCCTTTTGAGTATCGGGTTGTTGTACGATTTTTTCATTCGAACATTTAATATCTGAACTTTTCGAGTCACTTATTCCAACCTCACTCTTCGCATCGGATTTCTTAACAACTTCGTTGTATGCCAACCGATTGAAAACTTTAGGTATCGTACCAGTATTTTTAACTTCCTTTTGAGTATCGGGTTGTTGTACGACTTTTTTATTCGAAGATTTAATATCTGAACTTCTCGAGTAAATCATTTCAACTTCACTCTTGGCATCGGATTTCTTAACAACTTCGTTGTATGCCAACCGATTGAAAACTTTAGATACCGTGCCGGTGTATTCAGCTTCATTTTTTGTTTCAGCCTTTTGTTTAACCCCTACAATTTTATTTTCCGATTTTTTTACGTCTTTATTATTTTTCAGCTGGCTGACATTTTCGTTTTGGGTGACAATATTTTTAGCATCAATTTTCAGATCGGGCTTCTTAGCAACTTCGTTGTATCCCAGCCCATTGACGACTTTGGGTATCGTACCGGTAAATTTAACTGCATTTTTTGTAACGGGTCGTTGTACGTCTTTTTTATGCGAAGCTTGAACATGTGAAATTTTCGATTTATTATTTTCAGCTTCAATTTTTGTATTGGGCCTTTGGATACTTTCTATTTGATCTGAGAATCTAACACCCAGACTTTTCAAGACTCTTTTTTTAGCTTCATTTTTTGTTTCGACCCTTTGATTGACCCCTTGGATTTTATTTTCAGATTTTTTCATATCTTTTTTATTTTCAGATTGAATGATAACTTTGGGTATCGTACTGGTATTTTTACCTTCATTTTTCTTACCGGCCTTTTGCTTGACTTCTTCAGTTTTATCTTCAGATTTTTTCACATCTTTTTTAATATCCGATTGAATGATAACTTTGGGTATCGTACTGGTATTATTACCTTCATTTTTCTTACCGGCCTTTTGCTTGACTTCTTCAGTTTTATCTTCAGATTTTTTCACATCTCTGTTATTATCCGGTTGAATGATAACTTTGGGTATCGTACCAGTATTTTTACCTTCATTTTTCAGTTCAGCCCTTCGATTGACATCTTCGATTTCTTTCATTTTACCGACATCGTTCGTTTTGCGACAACTCGAATTTTGATCTTGATAAGCATTTTTACGAGCAGACTTTCCGACGTCCAAGGCACGTCGAAGAGCAACGTCGAGATAAGCATATTTTTCGTCCTTTCGACCTTCACTCGTGAAGTAATACTCGTCGTCGTCGTTGTCGTCGTAGTCGTCGATTTGGTGCAATCTTTCACGGTCTTTAAGAATTAGCGAGAGCTCTTTTTCGAATGGAATGATCGTCTTTTTGCTCTCGTTATTTTGCTTGTCGGTCGACACCTGCCTCGGCGAGCTGGTTTCAGGGAACACGAAACTCCCATGGGGACCCGTCCTGGGCGCGCTAATTGCCGGACTCATCGGGAATTTTAGGCTGATTCTTTTAGTAGAAGTCTCTGGCACGCGATTCGAGCGACCATTTGTATCGTTAGAAAATAATACGTTTTTGTTGATTTTTGTATCAGGACTTTGCGGAACGTCTTTGCTGATTTTCTTAGAAGCCTTTTGATTGTCTTCTTCGGTTTTATCTTCAGATTTTTTCGAATGTTTTTTAAAATACGATTGAATGATATCTTTGAGTATCGTACCAGTATTTTTACCTTCATTTTTCGTATTAGCCTTTTGATTGTCTGCTTCGATTTTATCTTTAGATTTTTTCGAATCTTTTTTAATAATTTTTAATCTCCGTTTGAATGATATCTTTGGGTATCGTACCGGTATTTTTACCTTCATTTTTTGTTTCGGCCCTTGGATTGTCTTCTTCGGTTTTATCTTCAGATTTTTTCGAATCTTTTTTAATCTCCGATTGAATGATATCTTTGGGTATCTTACCGTTATTTTTACCTTCATTTTTTGTTTCGGCCCTTGGATTGACCCTTGGACCCCTTCGATCTTATTTTCAGATTTTTTCACTTTTTTAGTATTTTTCGATTGATTCGTTTTTGAGTCACTCGTTTTAATTTCACTCTTTGTATCGGGTTTCTCAGCGTCCATTTTACCCTCCAATAAACTAACGTCCTCCGTTTTCGAGTCAATATTTGTAGTAACCTTTTTCGAGTCATCTTCACTTTGTGTCGATATTTTTTCTTTTACAAGTACCGGTTTTGATAATGGCGAAAGTAAGTTATCACTTGGTTCAGGGTAGTCATGGGAGTCCTCCGATAGTTTTCTTTTTCTTCCTCTGTTTTTTTCCTTTTCATTTTCTTCCTCGTGAGCTGGCAACACTAATTGTTTCAAAGCGTCCAAGTTGTACCTTTCGACTCTTATATCCCGTGTACAACAGTTGTCCAAATTATACTTCATTAATCTCTTGGGTCTCCTTCTCGGGCCCACGATGAGATGCAGATCCTGCCGCCGATCTCTCCTCAACCGAACGAGACCCCAACGATTGGCGAGCGGCGTAGGCGCGACGTACCAATGTTTCCGCCTCGCGTGTCTCTTTGCTTGAATTTTGAACGTCTTGTCGCTGTTCACGCACCGCCACCTCTTGTTCCGCGTGTCGAAGATCTCGTCTTGTATCGTGAATCTGCCCCCACGCCGTCTTAACCACTCTATGTAGTTCTTCTCCTGCTTTTCGAGGAGCTTCTCCATTCGGAGATACGGGTCATCTGCGTAGAAAAAAATTGTTACATCGATATCGATCGGTTGCAACGATTACGAAAAATTATTATTGTTTTAAGAACGAGACTTTGCACTGACCGTCCGATTCGACGGTCTCATTGAAGCGCGACGGCTGGAAGTGGATCCTCGCGTGATGTAATCGCTTCCTGCCAACTTTGAATCTCGGGCGAGTGCGCTTTTTAACGTAGAGTTTCCGTACACTACGGAAATTACCTGGATTACGTATCTTCATCTTTAGTTTTGGCACCTTGACTTTTTCTTTTTTGAAATTGTATTGATCTGAAAAATCAATATCGTCGTCGGTATAAAATCCGACACATTCCGTCGGGGAAAACAATATTAAGAGTAGGATGAGATAAATTGGAATACGATTGAATCCAAAAGTAATACGCTGAAATAATGGCTTTTTTGGTTAACGCGAGAATAATTTATAAAAGAAAATATTACTTACTACAATATTATTGTTCGGACGTCAGGCATGCGTAACCACAAGTAAGCGAGGCTTCGAATCGGCACGACGAGACTACCGCTGTACACGTATCTTACTCACGCTTGTGTTTACATAAATGTCCAACGGTCGAAGCGCGACCATTGCTGTATAAAAACCCGTGTTTACTTTGATTTTGCTCTCCCAACAACGATTAATTATGTCAATTTATAATTAATTCCAATGAAATAAAATACTCGTGTACTTGAATTTTTTAGGAATTAAAAAGTATATCACGATGAAGACAAACTTTCAAGTAATTTCGAGCAAAAGAGCGAAAAGTATAAATAATACTCGAAGAGTATTATGAAGCCGTTGGAAGTAAGATGCATCTCATTTTAATTTACCCGATAATTCGTCGCTCAAAATCGAGCGATAATAATTATTCGGAGAAAGATGTGCACTCACGATTCACTTTGACAATTCACGCATAATTTTGTGCAACGATAGCTTATGATTTTCTTAGTAATTTAAAAATTTTAATTCGATAATTCGTCTTTGAACAAAAACGATTTGAATTTGTGTCGCATATAGGTGTAGTGGGCAGTATCGTCGACGCGAAGCCAGTGTTTTCAAACCACGAAGAGTGAGCGTCATTTGTTGACCGATAACGACACAGTTATCAAATAGAAACAATGCGACACGATAATGATTTTTTGCTTTGGGACAATCGCATTCAAATCGAAGTAGTTCGCACGCATAAATTTGACAACTTTATCAGCCGATCCTCGTTGTACTCATATGGTTGCGTTTATCACAGATATAATAAATGTAGGCGTCATTTCAAATGTTTTTCGACTCCATTTCTTTTATCACAATAAATGTTGTGTCTTACAGTACTCGGTTCGATGACGATTTTATATAAAAGAGGGATGAGGTCAATTTGGAAATCTCCATCGTGAGTGCAACTGTCGTGTTGGATTGCCGAATCTATAGGTCGAACGTGGCTTCGTCAGTTGTTTGAGTTCCAGGCACCGCTAGGTGGCGCTGACTCTGTGCGTTACTCCCGCAAGTAAGAAAGCAGAGACGCTAGCTTATAAGGCTTCCTCAGGTGACACAAAGAACCTCTCCCATTTTAATTGTTTTACACATAAATTTTACTATTTCAAAATAGCCAAACTTATTGTGACGAATTCAATTCGACAAATGATTGGAACTTGACCGATTGAGACATCAAAAAAATGTTAAAATTGCCCGTGTTACGCACGCACTCGGCATGTATTTCACGAAAATCACAATAAAGAAACTATGTAAAACTACTCTTACTGCAAAAAACATCAGTGATAATCCACAGCGAATATCGGCTGTTGCGGAATTAAAGGCTGCGTTATATGGCCGTCACATAGATCTTACGCTAAGGGATAATTTTTTTTCTTCTACAATTTATAGTAGAGGTACAAGTAAAATTTCGTTGAGCTTTGACAAAAATCGAACGAATCTTTATTTCTGCTTGTCTCACGCTTGAATTTCAAAGATGACTTCTTCGAAATGTATCGTCAGGAAAAATTTTAATTATGAATCATTCCAAAATAATATACTAAAATGTATATAATTTAGATAAAATTAACTTCCACTTTTACAGCTTTCCAGCGATTTGAACTTGACTTTCTCGAAAAAGTATAAAAAAAAAAAAGAAAAGAAAACATACAAATATCATAAACCCACCGAAACATATCGTTTCTCCTGGTCAATTATGCATGTCCCAATGAAATCGCACACATCGCGTATAATAAATATACACACATGTGTCAAAGTCAGCGTCACGCGGCGGCCGCTTGGCCGCACTCCGCTGACGACTGTATACGCGTCGCTCTACTTTTTCGGAAATTCAACCGAGAGAGAGAGAGAGAGAATAGTCGCGGTTCAGCACAGCAGCAGTAGAGAGAGAGGCTCGAATGACGTCACTCACTGATCGAGGAGTAGCAGCAGCACAGAGAGGCGTTCGAGCTTTTCCAGGCTCGGCGTAGACTCGCAAGCTCGGCAATGTTCGACGGCCTCTCTCGACGTCGCGATGCACGAGACAACGGATACGTTTAGGCCATTTTTCGCGATGGTAAGCTAAACAGATTCCATGTATAAGCTTTGATACAGGGTGGCCTTTATCGTGCGAGGGAGAAACTTTTCTTTCGAGCATCAGCAGCAGCAGAAGAAGAAGAGTTGAGAGGGGTGAAGTGAACTTTTTAGCGTCGAGCTTTCAACTTTATATATACGTAATATATATAAATTCATTTAAGCTCGCAGCAGCAGCTCTAGCGCAACTTTTGCCATCGCGCGTCGCGCGCGCGGCCAACAACTACTACCGTACTCAGCTGTGCGAGCTCTTGCGATGTGCTTCGCTCTCGCGTATTAGATTAGTTCCGAGTAAATTTAACACTCGCTGTGCCGTCTAATAGTTGCCTGAAATTTCATTAGCAAGTATATATAATATATACAGGGCTGAAATGCTGAGGGCGCATTTGTACGAGGATATGTTGTATACGCGAAATATGTGTGTTATACGAAGATTTTGCCCCGAAGGCTAGTTGATCGATGGATAGTATATAGAAATACGCTCGACCGAAGTTTGTGCATTATTTGACTTTGCTGTATTTTGCAGGAGATCGAGTTGTGTGTTAGTCGGATTGACTTTTAACCGAGCGAAGGATCGACGTCACTTACAACTCGAGGAAAATAAAAATGCCAATAATGCTCGCGCTCACGGATCGACTGAAATGAATTCGATGTCCGTGTAGCCGATTAAAAGGCACTTTTCCTTTCGTTCGAAAAGATAGATGGCTGGTTCGGTCGTTTAATAAATTGTGATTTTTTAGAAAAAATAAGTTAAATTGTAAGCATCATTCGTTGATTCTTAAAAAAAAACGAGGGATTAAATACTGCCGTTATCATACAGCTTCGGGCCGAAACTCAATTATTTCATCAACGGCGAGCAAGTCATAGCTGCACACAATGACGCAATTTCCGAAGCGCGAGTCGTTACGATGTGTATATTATATCTATGCGCAGGCGGCTGTATCATCAATTAAATTCAGCCGAGAGCGAGAGAGAGAGAGAGAAACGCCGAATAAATCTGATTTTAAATCGCGCGCACATACAGTACGGCAGTGGTATAAAAATAATAACGATATAAGCCAGTGCCGCACGAAAGAGAAAGAGACAGAGAGAGAGAGAGAGATTGTCGAGAGCTGCTGGGGCCCAGCTGGCACCACCCTTGAAAAACGCGTTCGTATACGTAAGACTTATATAAAAGCTCGAGAGCAGGATATGTATTAGCATTTACGTATACGAAAGCTCGACACGCGCCAGATATATACATGCCTATACTGTGCAAGCTGCAGGCCAGAGCGAGAGAGGCCACGTGGATATATTCCTCTCTTTCTCTCTGTACAACGGGACGAACAATCGGCGGTGGTGGTGGTGGTGGTGCGCGAGCAGCTCAAGTAACAGCACGCGCGTGACGTCATCGGGCTCTTCGGCGAATAGCTGCTCTCTCACTGCACTGCACTGCACTGCGAGCTATTCATTCAAGCACAGGCGGCCGTCGCCTGTGTGCTTGCAGGAGGAATATATTTTCGCGAGGTGCAGTATCTATCTATCCAGTGTGCAGTCGGCGGCAGTGGTGTGCACAAGCAGCAGTCGGGCAGTCAGGCAGGCGCGCGCATACACGCGACGACGACGGTACACACGTATAACGGCGCGCGACGCGGATTCCGATCACTGCTTGCACTGTGCCACGACGATGCACAGTTCATCCTCGGCCACTGAGCAATGTGCAAGCCTCCCGCGATGGGAGCGGGGGAGATCGCGATTTATCAGGATACTCGGGAGAAAGCCGAGATTCAACTTTGTAGTAACGTAGATCGAGAGAAAAGCTCGCGAGAGCTTTGCAAATTTTTGCTAAAAAAGCTGTATTAATGCTTCGAAAATTTTCGATGGTCGTTTTATTTCATTCTTTAATCGGTATTGAGAAAAACAATCGTAAGATTAGTTCGAAGCGGATCTTTTATTTCGGGGTTGATTTTATCGCACGCAAGAAAGAAAAGGACATTTACCATCGACTCGATCGCAGTGACGGTCCAATCGATCATCAGCAATCAACAACCAGACGACTGGATAATTATATCACTTTTATCATCGAAATAAATCGAGGATGGAAAGGTACCGCGATCGATTTGTTCGGACACGAGAGAGTATCAAACTCCGCATCGCATCGCGATGATTTCCTATTTTTTTTGGTAAGTTCATAACCAACTATATTATCTCTATTATATTATCAGCCATCAGACGTCGTTCCCATAATAGATTTTTCATCCATAAAAGCTCTGTCGTATCGCGCGGGGCGAATACAAGCTTCGATGAAAAGTGTCAATGACTCTTGCGCGCGCGAACGTGACTTTGCGCCCGCGTGTGTCTGTGTGTGCATTCGGTATCCTATGTCAACGGCGACTACACGACGACGACGACGACGAAGGCAATCGATGCCACTCGTGCGGCGGAACACTATAGACTTATATCATTTTTGAATAATTAACATTTTTTTTCGCCCTATTTTCGTTGCGAGCCGAAAGACGAAGAAAAAAAAAATTAATACGCGTTTACGTTTTTCGATGTACAATTTTGTAATTTATACCTCACGTGAAAAAAAAAAAAAAATAAATTATCATCGCGACAAAAATATATAAATTATATTTGACGCAAACCAAGTTGTAACATTATTTTCGTGACGCGTTATTTTTTCATGTACAGTAGGAAGCAGCGCGCATTAGGTCTGCATGTTGATACGTGTCCCGTGCATGTATTCATACTCGCATCCTTCGTGACGACAACAGTTATAAGCCTATATAGACGTGTTTTGCACTCGACCTCTCTCTCCATCCGCGTGTTTAAAAACAACGAAAATCGATCCGCAAATAACGCGTACACCTCGTGAATTCGTTGGTATACTGCGCTTTTCTATTTACGCTTTTTTTACTTACTTTTCGCGCGGAGATAATCCCTCGGCAAAAATATTATTCCGTACATCCGCGTGATTTCGAGGAGATGAAAAAAACACGCG